AAAACTGCATAATGTTACGGAGTAAAATGTGATGTCTGTGCAAGTTTTGGAGGCGTTGATGGAAGCGATTTACTGGATTTATGCTTTGATAATCGTACTGAATATTACCCAGATGTAGTTTTTGATAAAAATGTGATTTTCTCACCTTTTTGCTCAAAATAATGCATTTTTTATTAAACCTATTACTTGTATTGTACCTAAAGTGTTTATAAAAAAAGAATGCTTTAAGCTAGAATAAAACAGATTTTTTTGGTTAAAAGTAGAGGCTCTGATCTTTATTTTGGTGTATTGCATATTCAAATATTCATACAGCAAAATATTCTGGAGGCCATCAAATTTTAGTGAAACTCATCAAAATCGCTGGCGGTGGCTGGCAACTTTTTTCAAAAATGCTGGCGGGGAAAGAGTTAATGGAAAAGGTGTGACTGCGACCTAAGTTGAGGTACTTAGAATAATTTTAAACCACTGTAAAAAGTTTGAGAAGCACTGGTTTAGAGCATCACAGTATGTAGAGCGGCTGTACCGGCCTTGCTGCGGGAGTGCAGGTAATCGTGCAGCGGCGCCTCGTTCCTCCGCAGACTCGTCCTGACGCAGTGATCGACCGTCTCTGGAGTCACCGTGATGCCCAGCGCCTGCAGAACGTCCACCACCGCCGTGGCTCCGCACGCCGAGGCCCCGATCTGCAGCGTCTGCCTCTGAACGGCCTCCTGGATGCTCCACAGCATGGCTGTGTTTCTCTGGGCCTCCTCAGCTTCGGCTCCAGATCCGGGTCCCATCGCCTCCATCTCTTCTGGATGCTGACGTGCTGGAAACACACACAAAAGAGCTGCATTCATGAGTGCTGTGATTAGCCACGCCCTCTCTTTCCAAAGCTCCACCCACAAACACATGCAAATATACCAATACAAGAAAAATCATATATGTGACCCTAGAGCGCAAAAGCACACACACTCACACTTTTATGCCAAAAATCATTAGGATATTAAGTAAAGATCATGTTCCATGAAGATATTTTGTAAATCTCCTACTGTAAATATATCAAAACTTAATGTTTGATTAGTAATATGCATAGCTAAGAACTTCATTTGGACAACTTTAAAGATGATTTTCTCAATATTTGGAGTTTTTTGCACCCTCAGATTCCAGATTTTCAAATATTGTCCGATCCTAACAAACCATACATCAATGGAAAGATTATTTATTCAGCTTTCAGATGATGCATACATCTCAATTTCAGAAAACATTTACCATTAAGACTGGTTTTGTGCTCCAGGGTCACTTTTATTGAATGCAGTGTTTAAGCAAAATTAATAAATATGCAATGAGATGTGCAATGTGTTTACGTAATCATGTCAAATAAGACACAAATTTATAATTTATTGACAATAATAATGGTCAGAAGAAATCTTTGCATATTACAATTACATAACTACAAACAATTATAATTTTGTTAATTATTATCAATACATGATTTTATTTTATAAAATTGCCTCTTATTTGACATTTGTACATTTTAGCTGGTTTGAAAATGCAAAATTAAACAAGTATGCATATAACTCACTATCTTAAGGTTTCCAAGCAACATAATTGTCATCACTTGCATGATTAACTAATTCACTAATTGAGCAACATCTAGTTATTCTTAAACATAAACACAGCTCTTTCGCAGTTCTATGTTAAAATATCAAAATAAGACACAAATTCATTATTTATTGACATAATGATGATCAACATAATTGTACATTTATATTATAATGTCATAATTGTAAACAAATTAAATATTAAACATTTTGGGGAAATTGTCTTATTCCACATTTTGGAATAACATTTGATTAAAAAAGTAAAATAACTGTTTATGTCTAAGATGATAACTCAGCACTGCTTAATTAATTAAATATTAAATGTGATGTGGTCCTGACAACTGTGCGTGCGTGTGTGTGTGTGTGTGTGTGTGAGAGAGTGCATGTGTGTGCGTGCGTGTGTGTGTGTGTGTGAGTGTGTGAGAGTGTGTGTGTGTGTGTGCGTGTGAGAGTGTGTGTGTGAGAGTGCATGTGTGTGTGTGTGTGAGTGTGTGTGTGTGTGTGCGTGTGAGAGTGTGTGTGTGAGAGTGCATGTGTGTGTGTGTGTGAGGGAGTGTGTGTGTGTGCGTGTGTGAGTGTGTGTGTGTGTGTGTGTACGTGTGAGTGTGTGTGTGCGTGTGAGAGTGTGTGTGTGAGAGTGCATGTGTGTGTGTGTGTGAGAGTGTGTGTATGTGTGCGTGTGTGAGTCTATCTGTCTGTCTGTCTGTGTGTGTGTGCGTTTGTATTTTATTACTAAATTATATATTATATCACTCGGAAATTTAGATTCTAATTATATAATTAAACATGCAATATGATTCTTTAGCTAATAAGTTTGCCAAGCAACATGACCACAGGACCACAACACATTTCACGTTTAATTAATTAAATCAACTACACATTAACAAAGCTATCTTGCATTTGCAATCGAGTTTATGTCAAAATGTTAAATAATACATCAATAAAGTAAATGTGTATTACACTTTTATAATTATCAGCAAAAATAATAATATTCTGATCTTTTTCAATTTGATTTTGTTTAAACGTGTCTTATTCTAAATGTTAAACTGTATAACAGTTTCACTGCAATTCATGTTATAATGTTAGAATTAAATAACAATAAAAATAATACATATGCACTTATCTGTACATAGTGAATGCAGTTATTTTTAAGCGGTTGTTGACATCCTATCTAAAACGTAATTTAGCCACAAAAAAACAACAATAACGTTTAACAATAACAGGAACAATTCTGTAATTGTTCTTAAAATATCACGAGAGTTTTTTAAAATATTTTATTATTTTTAATTATTTATTATTATTATTTAAATTTTTTTGCTATTGCAGCGGTTAGTATGGAAGCCCGTTTCCGCCACTGAATAAAAAAATCTAAATTAGTTAATTGTGACTTTTTATCTTACAATTCGGACTTTTTTTCTCAGAATTGCGTGATACAAACTCGCAATTCTGAGAACATATCAGTCTTTTTTCCCCCCTCAAAATTGGACTTTAACTCGCATTAAATCGTTTATATCACGCAATTATGAGAAAAAAAGTCCGAATTGCGAGAAAAAAAGTCAGCAATTCTGAGAAAAAAGTCCGAATTGCGAGAAAAAAGTCTGAACTGCGAGAAAAAAAGTCTGAATCGTGAGTTTATATCATGCAATTCTGAGAAAAAAGTCAGAATTGCGAGAAAAAAGTCTGAACTGCGAGAAAAAAAGTCAGAATTGTGAGTTTATATCATGCAATTCTGTGAAAAAAGTCCGAATTGCGAGAAAAAAAGTCTGAATTGCGAGTTTATATCACGCAATTCTGAGAAAAAAGTCCGAATTGTGAGAAAAAAAGTCTGAATTGTGAGAAAAAAAGTCCGAATTGCGAGAAAAAAAGTCCGAATTGCGAGATAAAAAGCAATTACCACTTTTTTTCTGTTTTTATCCAGTGGCTGAAACCAGTGGTAGGTTAGAGAGACATCTGTGCTGGATATAGTGTTCCGGGTCGCTATGATTGGTGAAACATTCATGCATTTAAGGGTTAATATAGTAAATACTACATTTTACTAAACTCTTTTTAGTACACTTCAATATTTTAGTTCAGCGTCTGTGCTCGTCCTCTGGCGGATGTGTGCAGTCAGAAGTAATGCAGTGCAGTTATGAATGTGTTGAGAGTTTTGGAAATGCTTTCGCTTTCGAGCGCGAGTGAAAGTGTGTGTGTCAGTGCGCTGATGAGGAACGTGTCTGGCAGCAGTAATGTAGACAGCAGCTCAAGCTGATACTGGACGGACAGCTTTAGGAGTTTATATCACGCAATTCTGAGAAAAAAGTCTGAATTGTGAGAAAAAAAGTCTGAATTGCGAGTTTATATCACGCAATTCTGAGAAAAAAGTCTGAATTGCAAGAAAAAAAGTCCGAATTGTGAGAAAAAAAGTCTGAATTGCGAGAAAAAAAGTCTGAACTGATAGTTTGATATGATATATATAGATATAGATTATACATATGTGTGTGTGTGTGTATATATATATATATATATATCATAGTTTATATACAATGAAATAATAAAATATAGCAATTTATTATAATTATTGAATTATTTAATTATGTATTTGTTAATTAATGATAAAAATGTATTGCTAAATTTCAGAATCAACACAAAATCAAATGTAAAATAGATAGATATTTTGAAAGACAGATCAATAGATATCTCTCTGCAGTTTTACCAATTTTATTATTTTTTCATAGCATTCTATAATCAGAGAGTTGATGATCAAATGTATTCATAAATGTGTTCATCTGCATTTTTAATGTATATAAAAAGTTGTGCTTTATACTGTTTTTTTTTTTTTTTTACAGATGAGTACTAACAAATAAGGTTTTGACAGATTTATTTCCCTTCTTGGCACAAATATGTGCCTGCTTGGTACACACCCACACACAAACACACACACAACACACTAACAAAAAAGTACCCAAAAGTACCACTGTTTGAACATGCACCACCGTAGTATGCTATTATCTGATGAATCATTCATGCTATAAATCTCATAGCACCTAGTAGCTGATATCATTAGCATAGCATTTTTAAACCTTGTTAATTCAGATCAGGTTGTTTGTTGACTGAGTGTGAGACGTTTATCTCCATATTTCCTCCACAGACCTCATTGATATTACTGTTAAGGGCACGGATGGAGAAGCAGCATCTCTTCCCTGCAAGTGTCCTCCGGATAGGCCTCCGTATCTGGTCTGGCAGAAGGTCGCCGGTGAACAGCCGCTCGTGGTTAATTACTATAAAGACGACGAGCAAGAAGACAACCTCACAGCATCTGAGTTCAGGAACAGAACAGAGCTGAACCTGAGTGGAAACTGTTCTCTAGTGTTTCACAGAGTGAGTCTGTCAGACCAGGGACTGTACGAGTGCTACTACAAGAAATCACCGTTAAGACGTGAAAGAATCCATCTGGTCGTCACAGGTCAGTATGTGTGCATTTATTCCGCACTTAAAATGGTGAATTTTATATGCTTTATATGGCATTTCTGTGTTCACTTGTTCATTGTAATGGTTTAAAATTAAAAGACGTTCTCTTTAAAATTAAGTTGCATTCAGAATATGGTTAAAGATAAAATAAAGCATAACATCATCCTGCTGAGCAAATCAACTTACCAATACATTTAGTGTTAACTACTCATGAAAGAAATTAATTCAATTAACTCCAAAATTAAAAGCCAAACCTAGTGTTTGTAGGTCATTTCGACAACGGAGAAAAAAAGTGTTTTTTTTGTTTGTTTGTTTTTTGTTAATTCTGACTTGTTTTCCTCACAATTGCAACATTATATCTCACAATTCTGACTTATAGTATCTCGTAATTCTGACTTTAAAATATCTCATAATTCTTGATTTATATCTCACAATTCTGACTTTGTATCTCGTAATTCTGACTTTATAATATCTCGTAATTTTGAATTTATAATATCTCATAATTCTGACTTTATATCTCACAACTCTGACTTTATAATATCTCATAATTCTTACTTTATATCTCACAACGCTGACTTTATACTATCTCATAATTCTTACTTTATATCTCACAACGCTGACTTTATACTATCTCATAATTCTTACTTTATATCTCACAACTCTGACTTTATAATATCTCAAAATTCTTACTTTATATCTTACAACTCTGACTTTATAATATCTCATAATTCTGACATTATATCTCACAACTCTGACTTTATAATATCTCATAATTCTGACTTTATATCTCACAACTCTGACTATATAATATCTCACAACTCTGACTATATAATATCTCACAACTCTGATTTTGTAATATCTCATAATTCTGACTTTATATCTTACAACTCTGACATTATAATATCTCATAATTCTTAATTTATATCTCACAACTCTGACTTTGTAATATCTCATAATTCTGACTTTATATCTCACAACTCTGACTTTGTAATATCTCATAATTCTGACTTTATATCTCATAATTCTGACTTTATAATATCTCATAATTCTGACTTTAAATCTAAACATTTCTTACTGTATATCTCACAATTCCTCACAACTCTGACTATAATATCTCAAAATTCTGACTTTATATCTCGTAATTCTGACTTTATAATATCTCAAAATTCTTACTTTATATCTTACAACTCTGACATTATAATATCTCATAATTCTTACTTTATATCTCACAACTCTGACTTTATAATATCTCATAATTCTTACTTTATATCTCACAACTCTGACTTTATAATATCTCATAATTCTGACTTTATATCTCACAACTCTGACTTTATAATATCTCATAATTCTGACTTTATATCTCACAACTCTGACTTTATAATATCTCATAATTCTGACTTTATATCTTGCAATTCAGAAATTGTATATGCTTAATTCTTCAAAATTGTGAGATATAGACTTTTTTCTTAATTCCATGGCAGAAATCAATATTCCATAGCTCAGAGACTTTTGCATGAAGATTATACAGTAAACTCATTCAGCCTTTTAAAACTAAATGTGAGCTCTCCGAGTGCTTGTGTGAGAAACAAGAACATGTGTCTCTTTTACTTTCAGGATTGACTTCAAGATATTCATTTTATCTTTGTTTATCCGTCTGTTCCCTGGGAATCGGGGCAATGGTTTTGCTGTAGACCTTTGGCTCATAGTTTATCTAATTGCTACCATGCTATGTCAATATTACAGAGTTTGCGTCAAATGTCTTCTATGAAGACTTAAGACTATAAGAAACACCATTTCACTACTCCAACACAAATATACCATGAACCTCTGTTGTTTCCGTAGAAAAACAACAACAAATACCTGGTCAGAACGTCCAGAGCACCATTGTGACGTCTTCAGTTTGCGTGTTTTTCATCATTGTGATCGCAAGTGCTGCTGTATACGTGGGAATCACTTGCAGGAATAGACATCAGATGAGAAGTAAGTCCATTTTGTGCTCATTGCAGTTAAAATAAATGGCAGCTTACAGTAAGAAGAGTACATGAACTCTTCTTGCACTCTGATGTCGGTTTAAAAGCTCTGTGACGTTCACGTTAAGATGAAATCTGAGCTTATAATCAGCATGGTACATGTGATTTATGGTGTTTTTCTTCCTTTGCAGGAACATTTATTGCAACATCAAGGAGGAGCATTTAACAGCTGTCAATTCAGAGCAAGATCTAGGTCTATAGATACTTTTGAATGGCAAATGCAACAAACAAAACAACAAACAGCACAAGCTCGCACACGTCGTGTAGTTCTTATGCGGGTGACCCATTTCACTTGTTAACCCACCACAAACATTTTCTGCCACTTCTCCATCTATTAAAGGAGTAAATCACCGCTGACAAGATGGGCTTTTAATAAAAGCGGGCTGTCTATGCAAAAAAAAAAAAAAAAACGGTGCTACATAACTAGAGAATACAAAAATGCGCAAGTATAATCTGTAGTTTTCAGACTTTTGTTGACAAATAAATGGGGATTTCTTGTATAGGTCACACTGATAAAGATACACATTGTGCATTTACTTATACTACTGATATTGTAACAACACAAAGTTGGTTGAAAATCTGCAAACTTACCCTTTAAAGGTAAAATAGTCCATAACAATAATGCAACTGTGAATGCCAACCACTGCCTAATAATGTCACTTATGCTTTAACATGGTTATTATTGCTTTTTGCTGCATATCAAGACCAATCAAGTGGTTTGCGTGGTTTTAAAACATAAAATTTGTTCAAAACATTAAACATGAGTGAACCTAAGAGAACTAATAATGTATATGTTTCCTTTAACAGATGCATTCTGTCCAAATACTTTACACTTTACATCCTTATGTTCGACTTTTTACATGCATAGTCTCTAAACGTTCACATACAGTATGAATATATAGAGTACATAGCCAAAGCAAAGATGTACATTAAGCATATTTACTCAGTGGATTTATAAAGTCCTGTCAGTTCGAAAAAACATTCTTAAAGTAATGTTTAAAGAATGCTCTAATAACTTTATTAATATTTGATATACGTTTTTCATAACGCTGTGCAAATCATTCTTGGAACGTCCTTACGATGTTATTTGCACATGCTGAATGTTCTAAGAAACATTTTTGTTACATTTAAATAACGTTCAAATCACGACAAGAAAACTAGACAGTTTAAGGTTTATAGAATAATAAAAAAAAACATTTGAATAACGTTATTTTTGGGTGAAATAGAGTTAGTGGAACATTGTAAGAAACCTTTTTGTAACCTTTAAATAGCATTCTAATCACAACAAGAAAACTGGAATAGTTATAACCTAAATTTGTTATCAAGGTAGCTTTAAAGAACATTCAAAATAACGTTCCCATAATGTTTGCAAAATGATAGAATTAAATGTTTCTTTCATGAATGTTCAGATAACCACGAAAACAGATTTTAAACCTTTAAACAAATTACATTTTCATATCTTAACAGGAACATTATTACGTTAACTATAGGATTGTGCTCTGAACCTCAAAATAACACTTTTATCTTTGCTGTTATTTTACACTCGGTCACTTCATGCATGTAGATCGGCATGGTTGTTTTTCAACATTTCACTGATACTGACCACAATATCTCTGCAGAACATATGTTGACATTCGCTTATTTGCTTTCTGATATTCACTTTCATTCTGACCAGGAGTCAATGTGTGTGTGTGTGTGTGTGTGTGTGTGTGTGTGTGAGTGTGTGTGTGAGTGATTGTGAGCGTGTGTGAGAGAGAGAGTGTGTGTGTGTGTACGCGTTTTTGTGACAAATGAGGACATAAATGTGTATAATGACAAAGGTATGACAGGTATTACAAGGAGAAGGTGACTTTTCAGGACATTACCCCATGTCCCCACTTTTCAAAACGCTTATAAATCACACAGAATGGAGTGTATTGAAAATCTGAAATAGCAGAAAGTCTCCTGTGAGGGGTAGGTTTAGGGGTAGGGTTGGTGTAGGGCAATAGAATATACGGTCTGTACAGTATACAAACCATTACACCTATGGAGAGTCCCCACTTTTCACAAATGTAAACCTGGGTGAGTGTGTGAGTGTGTGTGCGTGTGTGAGAGAGAGAGTGGTGAGAGAGTGAGAGAGAGAGAGAAAGAGAGTGTGTGTGTGTGTGTGTGTGTGTGTGTGTGTGTGTGTGTTTTGACAGGGCATTAGTCAGGAATGACTGTCTGTGTTTGTGTAAGCCGTCTCGCAGTCCTGCATTTATTGTTTTTTAAAAGCAGTTTTGTACAGTGACGTTGATGTTTTTAGATCCATCTGCTTACTTACTGGAATGAACACTGTTCTTGGCAACATAAACGTGCATGTGTTTTACAACAACTTATCAAAGAGCAAGTTTGTATATTCTGTTCTTTTATATGTTTTTTTTAAAAGCCAGATTAGTCTGAGGTTATATATTAATACTGAGTTAATATGTTTTGCCGTGTATAAAGTATCCCAGCTAACAAGGAACATTCCCAGAACTTTGCTTAACATTCCTCCAGAAAGGTTAATAGAAAGTTCATTCAAAGTTTTTCGTTTCCGAAACATTTTAGTCAGACGTTCATCCAACATTTTTTGAATGTTACTTGTTTCAGAACGTTCAGAGAACATTCAAATGTAACGTTCCCATAATGTTTGCAAATGATACAATGAATGGAATGTTTGCATAACCAAGAAAAAGCGTTTTTTAAACATTTAAAAACATTCGGAAATGTTAGATCATGCCTCCTTCTGATCCAGTCAGAAGATATCTGTTTTGTCTGGTAACAGAACAACCATTCAGCAAAATTGCCTAATACCCTAAATCTGTTTGCAAATCTTGTCTGGTATCCAAAATACCCAAACAGGAGACGAAGTGATGAAGAGTTTACTGAAAAATCTTAGTTGTGTATGTTTCAATGCTCAGACTTCGTCTAAACAGGACACATTCAACAAGTACTGTTATACCAAACAACCTCCCATAAACCTTGAGTTTCCATAAACATTCCCTCGTATCTCTTACTCATGAAGACAAACAGCCCTTTAAACCTACAGTCATACGACTAAACAACAATGGAACAATAACATAAAAAACAATAATATAATGTAATGTTAATGACAATTCAATTAATGAATCAATGAAATTAGTATATAGATGCTAAAATGATTATATGCTGAAATGTAAAAATAAAACGATTAAATGATTATAAATGGATGAACAAATGAATATAAAAAAAAGAAAGTAAAACACAACCTCTCTTTCGAGGATCCTCGGATGCTTCAGAAATAATGTTTTCATAACATGTCAGGAATGTTAGCAAAACGTTCTCAAAACGTATCTTTGTTAGCTGGGATGTTACCAGTAACATGTCTGAAACCCTTATACTGAGAAATGACACTGAAATGTGAAAATAAAAGCTTTATATCAAACTGAAAAGCGTGTGTGTTTATGAATGTTCACTAAACTTTAAAGGATACGTTCAGTTCCAGAATAAAAATGTCCTGATAATTTACTCACCCCCATGTCATGTTCATGTATTTCTTTCTTCAGTCAAGAAAAGGTGTTTAAGGAAAACATTCCAGGATTTTTTTTCCCATATTTTTTTTTTTTCTTCTTTCCTTATCTAGCCAAACGACCGGCCACTTTCTAAAAGAATACAAACATGTGACCCTAGAGCACAAAAGCAGTCTTAAGTGTCAATTTTTCAAAATTGATCTGAATAAATAAGCTTTCCATTGATGTATGGTTTGTTAGGATCGGACAATATTTGAAAATCTGGAATCTGAGGGTGCAAAAAAATCTAAATATTGAGAAAATCATCTTTAAAGTTGTTCAAATTAAGTTCTTAGCAATGCATATTACTAATCAAACATTAAGTTTTGATATATTTACGATAGGAAACATACAAAATATCTTCATGGAACATGATCTTTACTTAATATCCTAATGATTTTTGGCATAAAAGAGAAATGTATAATTGTGACCCATACAATGTATTGTTGGCTATTGCTACAAATATCCCCCAGCAACTTAACACTGCTTTTGTGCTGCAGGGACACATATATACTTTTTAACCACAAATGCTCGTCTTGCACTATAGCTTGACTTCATTTGGACCTTCAATCCCTGTTGAAGTCCACTATATTAAGTAAAATCCTGACATTTTTCCTCAAAAACCTTCATTTCTTTTCGACTGAAGAAATAAAGACATGACATGGGGGTGAGTAAATTATCAGGACGTTTTTATTCTGGAAGTGAACTTATCCTTCAACACTTGTTCTTCATCACTAGTGCTGAGTGAAGAGTATCTGATATCGTGTCACATTTCTGCGTGACACCTGAAGTTTCAGTGATTAGTGAACACTGAGGCACTCGTGCATGAGATGAGTGTAAAACGCTGGTGACAAAATTCTAACACAACAAAAAAGTTCTGACAGGTGACCTGAAAAAAGTGTTCGATGTGGTAACATCTAAACAAACTGGTTTTATTCAGGTTGAAAGTATCATTTAATATGAGTAAATCAAGTTGATGGACATCGTGTTTAACTTGTTGCGGGTCGATTTGACACAAACTCAATTTTCAAACTGCTCAAAAATATTGTGAATGTTTTTTATTTAGGGTCATGCATATGCATGCAAAATTTTGACACATAAATGTGTTTTGGAAAGGCTGTACAAACTGACCCTCATTGTTTTCCATGCAAAAATCAAACATTTTGAAAAACACTAAAGAGTAAAAAAAAAAATATATATATATACATTTACATGAAAACATATGAAATTTAAGACTTAGAAATTATTTCAAGTCACTGTTTCTTTATCTATTTGAGTTTAACAGTAAATGAATAAACAAATAAACAAAAATTAATTACAAATTTAATTCAAAATTGTCATTTAATTTAATTAAAAAATATATTTCACTTAAAAATATAAAGATCTCAATTATTAGACTGTTCCAGCGCTGAAAATAAATGTGAGAAGCCTATTTTACCTTACAAGGGTTTGAGAAAAAGACCACAAAAAGGCAAATAGCAATAAATACACTAAGAATAAATAATGTTAGATAATATTTATAATAGTAGTTATCTGCACCTCAGTGTGCAAATAGTAACTACAAGTAGTCATGACAAATTTTTTTTTTATTATTATTATATTTTTAAGCATTTAATTTTGAATATAAAATATGTGTCATATTAACACAATGGAAATAACACAATAAAATAGATGGCAATTATTAGATAATATTTATAATAGTAGTTATCTGCACCTCAGTGTGCAAATAGTAACTACAAGTAGTCATGACAAATTTTTTTTTTATTATTATTATATTTTTAAGCATTTAATTTTGAATATAAAATATGTGTCATATTAACACAATGGAAATAACACAATAAAATAGATGGCAATTATAAAAAAAAACATATTTCATAATTTTTAGTGTATTTTTAATCGCATAATTGGTTAAATCAGAAGATCGGGATGCGTGAAAAGTGTAATGCTTTTCTTTTAAAATACACTTTATATATATATATATATATATATATATATAGATATATATACAGTATATACATAGCTGCAAGCATCGATTACCAGGGTTCAAGCGCTTAAGGCATTTAAGCATATAAGGAAAAATACATTACATATTATTTAGCAAGGCTGTACCTACGCAAATCAATGATTAAAAAAGCATTTTTGGCAAATCCAGGTAATTTACCATAGAAATCTTTTTTTTTTTTTTTTTACGTTTACGACTGTTATAGCTTCTCAAAGGGCAAATTTCTACATTTTTTTAAATAATTATTGGCCTAGACTAGAGTCCAGAGTGTACTGCAGTGTTTTTTTCCATATTGAGAGAAAAACCTAGGACCAGTTCGCAAAAATAGGTTTTCTACATCTTCTCAATCATTTAACAAACGATTCGATTGTGAGCATTGGTTCTAGAGGCAAAGTTGTCCGGAATGAGGAGTTCTATCGCATGATATGAATATTGTGTATATGGGCGAAAAACCGCGCGACATACAATCATTTACGCCAGGGCTGTCCAAACTTGGTCCTGGAGGGCCGGTGTCCTGCAGAGTTTAGCTCCAACCCTAATTAAACACACCTGAACCAGCTAATCAAGCTCTTACAAGGCATAGAAACTTCCAGTCAGGTGTGTTGAGGTAAGTTGGAGCTAAACTCTGCATGACACCGACCCTCCAGGACCGAGTTTAGACAGCCCTGGTTTACGCCCTTGAAAGATGCGATATCGCCCCCCCAGTGGCCGATTTCTTTCAAATTTCTCTCAGACCTTTGGA